GGTACGGGTCAGATTTGATTGGTTACACCCACATCAACGTCTGTGAAAACGATTTGAGTGGGCTGAATGAGGTATGGGGAAGATGGGAAGCAGCAGTCAATAAGCAGTCGTTCTACCAGTTCTATGGAGACATCTCCTATCTCCTAGACGTCCCGATTGATCGAAATTTCTTTAGAGCTCTTACGTAGTTCTGTAATCCAGCTTACAATTGCTTTACTTTTCGCCTTCCATAGTGGAGTATAATGCCTTGATTTATTGTTCGAGATTCCAAGTGGACATGGTGTACACTAAACCCCAAACACTCAATCTTTAAAAAATAAACTACTTTTAATTAATGGGATGAGTGAAGAACGGCCCGTAAGAAGCATCAAGAAGAAATGAGATAGTGAATGCATTACTTGGATTGCTCTCATAAATGTAATTGATCGTTTTCCCGATAAGAGAAAGAAGATAGACCTGTTTTCTCTGGGTATTTATGGGCTAGTCATATTCCCGAAAATCTTAGGGCATGTTGATTTGTCAGTGGTTGATTTGTTTGAAAGATTGAACATGCATGTGGATCACGTTCCAACTATTTTGGTCGAGACATTCCATTCTTTAAACTCTTGCAGTCGAGAGGGAGAAGAGCGTTTTATAGGGTGTGCACCAGTTTTGTTAGTCTGGATACTTAATCATTTCAAATACGTGAAAAGGCATATGTTCGAGTGTTTTTAGAAGGGTTTTTGCCTTCGAAAGATTTCCTTTCCCGAGAATAGCCTAGGGGTTTCACTGAGGAAAAATGGATGGTCATTTTCAAAGATATCGAAGATAGAGACATATTGTGGCGTACTTCGTGGAATATCTTTTCAGACATACTTTATAGGTGTGGAGAACAAGATTGGGTTCCTTTGCCAGGTATATGGGGTTCCATAGGATACACTAATTTACTAGTTTCCAAACAATATGGGTCGAGACTGTTCATTCTTGCAACTTAGGATTTATCTGGGTTAGAGTTTGCATTCAAAGGAGAGCAATAAAAAAGTAAAGTTAAAGGGGTTGTTGACTAATAAAAGCAGACTCATCGAGTAAATCTCTTCACCTTCGATTTGAAGCTTTCACAAGAATATGAGGAGTGGATGAGTAATCGAGTTAATGATAATATCCCAATGGTTAATCCCGAAAATACCCAGCCCATGGAAGAACATCTTAGTGTTGTACAATCTCCGTTAGAATTAGCTAAACGTGAATTTGAGGCCGAAATAAAGCGGTGGAAAGAAACATTACAGAAGATGGATGATGAGGTGTACCAGAAAGGAGTGGAAATCGATATTCAAAAAAAATATTGGTCTTAATTATGATAATAAGAAGCAACTAATGTTTTTGTGTTTAAGATAATAACTCTTTTGATTTCCTTACAGTATTATCATTTTATATTTTATAGTCTGCAATTGTAATAGATATTTTATTGTTTAGACACAAAATTTTTATGACGTTGTCAGGACGGAACTAGGATCTAATGTTGAGGGGACAAAATTGTTTTATATCAAAAGAATAAGAATCAATTAAGTATTTAAATCTCAAAGTTAAGAGAGACAAAGACCGCATATAACTAATATTTAAACTAAAATGGACATAGAATACTATTGTACCAAAAATTTTAAAAGGTGTTGTTGCCCATCCCAACTCATATGTAGCTTCATCTAGGGATGGTCGAAAAGTTTGAACCCGAAGGGTTCCAACCCGACCCTATAGGAATTTTTTTTTTAAATTTTTAGGGTTCAGGGCGAGGCGGGATGAGTTATATGACAAATAATTACGGGGAGGGTCAGAGTCGGGTTTAAGGTGAAAAACCTGACCCGACCCAACCCGATTTAAATTATTAATTTTCTTTATATTTATATAATATATTTAAGATTTTAAGAATTTTTATTTTTATATTATTAAAATATATTCTTTAATTATTAAAAAATAAAATTATTATATAATATTGTAGACACATATTTTGGCCGAGGATATTATATTATATAATAGTATTATTATGTAGTATATATCATATATCATATATCATATATATATATTATATCATATATATATATATATATTATAGTATATATATTATATATAGTAGTATATATTATATAGTAGATATTATAGTATATTTATTATATAATTACATATATATATATATATATTATATTAATATATTTAGTGTATATATATACATATTATATGTAGTATTATGTATTTATTATATATTTATATATTTATTATATTATATCAATATTATTTTATTGTTTTGGTTTTTAGGTCCAATAAAAGTCCAGAGGTCCGGGTCCAGAAACGGAGCCCAACCGAACCATGCCAGCGTAACCCAATAAAACAGGCCTGGTTGGGAGGAGAGAGCCTGACCCAAGTGGATGGCAATGGGTCGGGTCGGGTCGGGTCGACCCGACCCGAGAAGAAAGGGTTTTTCACCTGTGACCCGACCCGACGAAATTAAGGTTTCACCCGACCCGACCCGACCCGAATATATGACTTAGAAACCCGACCCGACCCGACCCGACCCGAAATAATAATAAAAAAAATTATTCAATGAAAACAGTGACTTAATTGAAAAAAATTATATATGGAGGGACATTATTGTAATTATCCCTAAATATATAGGATAAAATTATATATATATTTTTCGGGTCGGGTCGGGTCGGATTTTTTTCACCCTAAACCCGAGCCGACCCGACCCGAATAGTACATTTAAAAAAAACCCGACCCGAACCCGATTTTTTTTTTTTAAAAAATCCGACCCGATCGGGTCGGGTCGGAACTCGTCGGATTCGGGTTGAGTTGCCATCCCTAGACCCAACCCAAGTCAAATTAGGGTTACAAACTTTAGCACTAGCGTCGCACGGAGGGACCAAGCTGCTGGTAACAGCGCGCGTGGAGGTCACACACCAGCACGGTTTGAAAACCGGCCAATATTTTTGACCAGAAAATCGCAAGATCGGGGTAAGAACTCACACAAACCGTAGATGTCCAACGGAGAAATCAGACGAAATCCCGCCCCTTTCGGAGCTACAACGACCAGATTCGAGGCTATAAAAAGCCTCTGATGAAGCCAAGCAAAACACACAGTAACCACGAAAAAAACCGAAACACATCAAGAGAAACCGAACAAAAAAATCGCACATTAGAGCAAAAAATTAGCAAAAAAACATTCGAAAATAGCAAGGAAAATCACAAAAAATATCAAAACTAGCGTCGATTTTTTTAGCTCGGAGGAGGTCATCGTCGGAACTTGAAACAGTTGTCGGGAAAACAAAGAGTCATGTCGAATAAAGGTAAACCCGAAAAATCTCTTCCTAGATCTACGCCAATAGAGGCGTTATTTTGATGTTTGGGAGTCGGTTCCGGCCTCAGGGGTTGAGATCTTTCGAAAGGGGTAGATTTCAGGTCCTCAGCCACCAGAGGTAGTGGCTAGGATGGAGGTCCGGCCAGTGATAGCTTCATCGATAAAGGGCCTGCCATTGGCCGGTGAGGGAGGGGTTGAGAGCATTTTGAGGGCGAGGGAGATTTTTTTTTTGATGAAATTGTATAAAATGATTTTTTTAAGTTTTAGGGGTGTTTATAGGGGATCACCTTGTAATTACAAGATTTTAAATTATTTACACAGTCCCTCTAATTTTGATGCGTAATTAATTTTGGTCATTTATTGTAAATTTGCCTTAGAATTTTGAATTAATTCAATTTAATCCATGTTATATTTTTATATTCTTACAATTTGACCCCTAACTTTTTGTTTTTTCCTTGCAACTTTTAATCAACATCAAATTGATCATTGATTTTTAATTCTTTTCAATTTAGTCCATTTTTTATTTGAATTTTCCTTTTTTGTTCTTTTATTTATTTATTTTATTATTTAACATTAATTTGATTTATTTTTAGGTAAATTTTAAAATTCTTCAAAGTAAACAATTTGGATCGAACTTTTAAATTTAATTTAACTTTTAATTTTCGTAATTAAGACAACTGAAAAATCAATTTGGTACTGAAAGGGCAGTACAAGGGTGCTAATCATTCCTTAACTGTAATCGAATCCCGAATCCGATTAATTTATGGTAAAACGAAGATTAGACAAATGGTAAGTGAATGTGTCTGGTAAACCTAATTTTAAATGACTAGTAGCGACTCTAACCTATTAATTCAAGTCGAAATCCGATTTTGGGCTCACCCAAAAAATAGTCACGACAAATATATTATTTTAATAATTTAAAATATAATAAATAATTATTAATATAATAAATAATTATTAATATAATAAATAATTATAAATATACTATTATAAAATATATTATTTTAAAATTTAATATATTTAGATCAGAATTGGAATGATAGAAATATTAAAATTTATATAGACGAGACGAGATCAGATTTAAGTAATACAATTTCAGGTCGGGATCCAAACGGTAAAAAACCCGCCTACCCCGTGCCCATCGTTGGTTGTTGTCGGTTCAAAAACAACATATGATATTTTTGCTTCTGACTCATGGAGAAATTATCCTTAGCTATCACTTCAAGTATTCTTTAATCTCGAAGAAGAAGAAGAAGAAAAAGAAAACAGAAGATAATTTTTTTTATTTTTAAATTTTTAATTGATGACTAATATTTTTGTTAACGAGGTAACGGAAGTTGATGACTAAAAAACTTTGAATAAATCGATAAGATAAGAAATTAAATATATTTAATTTTTTAATCGACGATCAAATTCGATGAGACCGAAGATAAAGAGGAGTACTCTTATAGAAAAAGAAATTGACTTTTTTGACCTTTTACACGCTTGAGAAGAAGGAAGAATGCAAAGGGACGTTAGTGTAAGTGTGTAACTGTCGAAGGGCCATATTTATTCGTTTCAGCTTCGGAGTACACTCTCAGAGTTACACTTTTCATCTCACTCGAAAAAAAAACCCCTCAAAGAAATTGATTTTCTCTTTGGTTTTCTCATTTATGTAGAAATTGCGATTGACTAGGATAGATATGTCGTCGAAAGGGAAGGGGAAGGAGGTTGTTTATGGGAAACGGAAGGTCAGCGCCGGAAGAAGCGGTGGCGGGAAGGAGGAGAGCCGTAAACGGCGGAACCGGGGAGTCCTTCAGTTCTTTGAAGACTCTGCTGAGGTTGATGATAGTGACGCCAGCGATTCCGATGATTGTAAGGCTGATCTGATCGATTTTTTCTTTGGGTTTTTTATGCTTCGTTTTGGAATGTTGCATTTCACGGTTGCTTATTTCTGCCATTTTTAGGGGTTTTTTTTTCTTTGGTTTCGTTCTGCATTTTGGTTTTTAGGGTGTGGAGTTGCCTGACCTTGAACTGTCAAAATGTTTTTTCATTCTTTAAATATTTTTGAGAGGGTTTTTGACTTTTTAATATGTTAAATAATTTTGAAGTGTATGCATATATATTAAAAAAGTGGAACATGTGATGACATTTTGTTGCTTCTGCATGAGTAATCATTTTAGGGTGTTTGGTTGTGAAAGTGGCTCATTGTACTTGAATAATCATTCTTTTGTTTTTGTGACGGACTTTTTTTTTCGTTGTGGCTTCTGCGTGAGTGATAATTTTAGGTTGTTTGGTTGTGAAAGTGACACTGATTAAGTAAATAACAATCCCTTATTAGACTTTTTGGAAGAAGAACCAGATCTTAATGTAAATAACAATCCTTGGAAAGCCCCCAACCTTCCATTTGTTCCCAAGGAAGAGGTGATCGAGGAAGAGTTTGACAAAATGATGGAGGAAAGGTACAGGGATGGTGCAAGGTTCACGACGTTCGATGAGGATTATGAAGCCAAGGGATCAATTGAAAAAAACTCTACTGTGCCTCCAGCCAAGGATCCTATTATATGGAAAATTAAATGTGTGGTACGGATGGTTGATTTACTGTTAAATTAACATATCCAACTAAAAATTTGAATGTAGTCTTCATCTACTCCTGCCATTTCCCTTTTTCTTGTTTCACCTTAGATTTGTTGTATGTAGGTTGGACGTGAAAGACATTCGACTTTCTGTCTCATGCAGAAGTTTATTGACATGAAATCACTAGGAACAAAGTTACAGATAATATCAGCATTCTCTGTTGATCACGTCAAGGGTTTTTTCTATATTGAAGCTGATAAACAATGTGATATTAATGAGGTTGATTATTTTTCAAGACACCAGAAAATAGAATGGCTTTATTATTTCTATTGGTGTCTATGCACTAACATATCTTTTCTTCTATATTAGGGATGCAAAGGACTAACTTACATTTATGCTTCACGAGTAGCGCCAGTGCCAAGCAATGAAGTTTACCATTTGCTCAATGTCAGAACTAAACGTAGTGAAATCTCTAAAGGCATGTGGGCTCGGGTAAAAAATGGAAAGTATAAAGGGGACCTTGCCCAGGTACGTGTGTATTCTATGTTTGAACCAAGTTTTCTTTATGTGCTATGCCTTGTATATGTTTTTCACACTGTCAAATTTTTTCTGCAGGTTGTTGCTGTAATCAATGAAAAGAAAAGAGCAACTGTAAAGCTCATTCCAAGAGTTGATCTGCAGGCGTTGGCTGCAAAATTTGTAATAATACTAATTGTCTACATACACTTGTTTTTGGGCTGTCTCTGTTGCATTGTTTGATACCTTATAAATAACTGCATATTTAGTGATCATTCTAAATGAGAGTTTTTCTGTTAGAACCAAAGAGAGCTAAACAGAGAGAGTCACCTGACGTAGCTTTTATTTATAGAAAATTGTTTGACTAATGTTTACAGTTCTCTTTCAGAGTGTGGAACTGTGGATTTAGTAGAATATTTTAATTTCTTTTTACTCTCCTATATCCTTGATTCCTTATCATTTTGATAACATAGCAGCATACTAAGAGAATTTGCTTGTCACCTATGTTGCCCCTTTCCGTCTTTGCTAAAGCTTCTATGCGCGGTAGTAAGAGTGCTTTATCTGGTTCTTCTATTTTAAAGGTGTTGGATCTTTTAAACTATAAAATTGTGGTTTACATGATAGTTTTTGGAGGATTTAAGTTTTGAGGGTGCTAGTCTTTCTCCTTGATATTGTTCCATTTTTTGAGTTGTTAATAATCGTTAGTTAGACCATTCAGAAGTTTATATATTGCTGCAGATATTTACATGCGCAGGGTTTTTCATCAAATAATTGATTTTATTTTACAGGGTGCTGGAATTTCCATCAATAGAACTGTTACATCAGCACCGAAATTGATAAGTACAATTGAGCTAGAGTAATACATCTCATCTATAGTCATTTACATGTTCTATGGTTTATTTATCAGTTCCATAACTTTTTAGATGTTTATGTTGATGTTTGAGCCTGGTGCAGGGAGTTTCGACCTCTAATTCAGTTTAGACGTGACCGCGATACAGGCATTGGTTTTCAGATACTTGATGGCATGATGTTTAAGGATGGATATCTGTATAAAAGAGTATCTATAGATTCCTTAAGCTGCTGGGGTATTATGCCTACGGAGGAGGAGCTCCTAAAGTTCAGTAGTTCTGATAATAATGAAACTGATGATCTTGAGTGGCTGTCACAACTTTACGGTGAAAAGAAGAAAAAGAAGACCATTACAAATGAAAAAGGAGGTGAGAAGGGAGAAGGCTCATCAGGGTTTAGCTTGGAGGATGGCTTTGAACTGTATAATCTTGTCTGTTTCAGGTAATTCTTGAACAGAAGTTCGTCATAGTCGTAACAATGTATCAATAACTTGTCAATTTATCTCCTTTATGTTTATTTTCATTTCCATTGCAGTCGGAAGGATTTTGGGCTTATTGTTGGCATGGAGAAAGATGATCGTTACAAGGTAAAAAGATTATATTTTTTGATAAGAAGGTAAAAAGATTATATTATTTACTTCTAATAAATTTGGCTTCTTACTTGCTATGCATGTGCTAGATTTTAAAAGAGGCTCCAGAAGGACCTGCTGTAGTGACTGTTGAGAAGCGTGAGTTAAAGAGTGGGCCTTTGGATATGAAGTTCACTGCACTAGATAAGCACTCAAAGACTATATCCATAAATGACACTGTTAAAGTCTTGGAAGGTCAATATGAGGTTTGACAGCAATCTCAAATCAGTTTCTCATTGTATGTTTTTATTTTGTGTTTAGTGGAGTAGATGTATAATATATTAATATATTTCATGTCTCACATTGTAGGGTAAACAAGGGATTGTAAAACAAATCTACAGAGGGACCATATTTTTGTATGATGAGAACGAGTCAGAGAATGGTGGTTTTTTCTGTTGTAAATCACCAATGTGTGAGAAAATCAAACAACATTTAGATAAATGTAACGAGAAGGTTGTAAGTGAAATGAACATAGAAATTCTTTTGCACTTTCATCATCTTGAGATACTTATGATTTATAATGAATTTTTAATTTTTGTTCAGGGTGGTGATCCTGGTGGTACTTCAGATTTTGGGGATTTTGTATCATCTCCCAAGTCCCCAGTATCGCCTGAAAAGCCTTGGCAGTCTCAAGAGAGGGAGACTAAGAGTGACTGTATTTTCCTAAAAATTCTGTTCTCTACTTTCAGCTTTCAGTAGTAATCATGTATTCAAATCTATAAGCATCGACACTAATTAATCATTTCTCATGCAGTCAACAGCGGGAACAGAGATGGGATGTTCTCCATTGGTCAAACATTAAGAATACGAGTGGGCCCTTTGAAAGGGTACCTTTGCCGTGTCTTAGCTGTATATCGTTCAGATGTTACGGTAAAACTGGATTCCAAGCAGAAGGTTCTTAAAGGTTGGTACAGTAATGAATGATCTGGTTGATGGATTGTAGTTCTATATATCCTATGATGACTCTAATGGTTTCTTGATGGTCCTATAGTTAAAAATGAGCACCTTGCTGAAGTTCAAGGGAACAGGAGCACTGCTGCAAATACAAAGTACCTTGATTTTGTAACATTGATTAATTTACTTTCTGTAACCTCTGTAACTGTTATCTTTATATATTTTGATTTTCCCTTACTCCTCCTTTATTAGTGAGCATGATGGATCAAGTTCACTCAAACCATTTGATCTTCTGGGATCGGAACCTTCCACTGGAGGTGAGGAGGTTCTCTTCCCTAGACATGTCAAAATATTAACTTGTATGCAATTGTCAAAATGTCAATTGGGATATGCTATTCTTTTTTATTAAATATTTTCTGTAAACGAGTTGTGGATACGCATTGATGATTTGCTTGAGTAAGACATGTTTTCAAACATGAAGCTTGGGTTTTATAATGTTGTTTAGTCCAATTAAATTAATTCCATGAGGTTGGTTATTATCCTCATTTCCATGCTTTCTTATTCTATGTTATCTTTTCCTGGCTGTAACTGACATTCTTCAATCCTTTTTTTCACTTCCTGTTTTCGGAATATTTTTTCGCATTCTATGTTATCCTTTTACTGGCTATAACTGATTTTAATCTTTTTTCCAATTTCTGTTTTTGGAAGATTGGTTGAATGGTGCAGGAACTTCGGCAGAGGGTGGTGGGTGGAATTCTGAGAGGTAAAAACAAGCACACTGTGTCACTAACAAGAAAATATAGATATGGTTGTTTATAATGGTAGAATAATTCTATTAGCATTGGAATCTGAATTTTTGCTATGAAAGAAATTAAATCCAACATTGATGAGTGCAAATGTAGAGAACTCATGTTTGAGGTGAAAGAATGCTTTTGATAAAATGCCTGCAATCTGCTCTTAATTTTGGGACCTTTTCTCCAGACAATTTACTCTTTAAGAACCTCCCCCCCTCCCCCATTACATTTTTCTTTGTCTTGGATTAGCTATCTTTTTTGCATGATGACCTTCGTCTTCAATTCTCTGCAGGAGCTCATGGCCTAGTTTCTCTGGCAATGCGGTTTGTCTTTCATTCTCTCTTTCTCTATTGCAAACACACATTTTGTCTTGCTTCCCTCCCTCTCTCACACCTGCACATTCACATGCACATTCACATGCACATTCACATGCACAGATGTTTATACCCGATTACATGTGATGAATGCATATATAATATCCTTTCACTTCTAGCCAATTTTTTTTACTTCCATGGAAGTAATTATATAAGTTTTTTGTGATGGTCCCAGCAGCAGAGGGGAACTGGGGACGGTGATCAGAAGAGAGGTATGATTGCTGCACCATTACTGCCATATGTGCAATGCCTGAAAAAAGAATTTATTGCATGCTTAAAGGTGTTCTCTTTTACTCTACTCTAGATGGTGAAGACTCTGCATGGGAGACAAAGGTGACTCCAAACCAGAATTCATCTTGGGGTGCAACAGTTCCTTCTGAGGATAATGATAAAAGAACAGGTGTAAATGATGCATCTTGTTTCCAATAAATGTGAACTGTTATACAGTATTTAAGTAGTGTGCTTAAAGCGTTTGTTGTTGTATATTGTATAGATGTTGTACCTACTGCTTGGGAAAATAACACGAGTACACAGCAAAATTCAGCTTGGGCTACAGGTGGCAGTGATCAAAATGTTAGTTCGGGGAGTTGGAATAACTCTGCCGCCAAGATCAACTCTGGTGGTGGTACATCTGATACTTGGGGTAAAACCACCTCTATTGGAGATCCTTCGGGTGTCTTAAAAGATGCCGGTAATGACGGTTGGAAAAAGACAGAGATTTGGGATAGAGGAAAGAATGACACCCAGGGCTCGTCTGGTGCATGGGATAAAGGTAACGTAGTGGCTGAAGCAGGATCATGGGGTAAGAAGGAAAAGTCAAGTGTTAATGAGGGCCTTGGGAACAATAATGATGCAGGGTCAAATCAGCAGGGAAGTTGGAACAAAAAGAATGATGCTAGTGTCGATGAAGATAATTCTTGGGGTAAAGCTGCAGAGAAGTGGAACGATAAAGACGGTATTGGTGGAAGCAAGGGAAGTCGGGGTAGTTCAAAACCTGCTGCAGATGATGCCAAAGGAGCTTGGGGAAGTGCCGGCAATGCTGATGAATCAGGTGGCTGGAAGAAAGCAAATGATTTGAGTGGGGATCAAGCCACAGGCTGGGGCATCAAGAAAGATACAAGTGAATGTGCAGCAGGTGGGTGGACTAAAGATGGATTGCAGAATCAGTCAGACGGTTGGAATAAAGAAAAGGTTGCTGATGTTGGAACTTCTTGGGGCAAACAACCTGAGGGTTCTTCATGGGGTGGTTTGAACACCAAAACTGGTGATGGAGCTAGCCAGGATGCCGGCCAAGACTCTGGTTGGAGCAAAAGGGGTACTTGGAACACTTGTTCTGGTGGTGCGAATCAGGATCGTGGTTGGGCTAAGAAAAATGATTTGGACTTTGAATCGGGTGATGCAACCAAAGATTCTACTTGGGGAAAGAAAAGGGAATGGAACTCGGGATCTACTGTTGCAAATCAGGAGTCAAAGAAAAACAATTGGGGTTCTGGCACTAGTGATTCTGGCCCAGACTCTGGTTGGGGCAAAGGGGGCAGTTGGAACTCTGGTTCTGGTAATGCAAACCAGGATTCTGCATGGGCTAGGAAAAGTGATTCGGATTTTGCTTCTGGTGATGCAACCAATGATTCTGGTTGGGTGAAGAAAGCCTCAGCAGGTGCAAGTCAGGATTCAAACTGGGGTAAGAAAAGTAGTTGGTGTGCTGGAACTGATTCTGGACAAGACGCAGGCTGGGGAGAAAAAGGTGGTTGGAAACCCGGTTACAGTAGTGCAGGTGAGGATTCAGGGTGGGGCAAGAAAAGCAATTGGAATTCAGAATCTGGGGATGCAAACCAGGATTCTGGTTGGAAACCCAAAAACGATTGGAAGTCTGGAAGTGGAAATGATGAACAAAATGAGCCTTATAGTGGTAGGGGTGGTGGAAATTGGAGGGGAGGTTTTGGTGGTAGAGATGGTTCAGGTAGAGGATTTAGAGGTAGGGGGGATTCAGACGGAGGAGGTTTTAGGGGTAGAGGTAGATCAGATAGAGGACGGGGCAGATCTGACAGAGGAGGTTTTGGTGGTAGAGGTGGTGATGGTGGAGGTAGGGGTGATCGAGGTGGCTATGGAGGTCGAGGTGGCGGTAGAGGTGGGTTCAGAGGTAGAGGTGGTGATAGGGGAGGCTATGGAGGTAGAGGTGGTGATAGGGGAGGCTTTGGAGGTAGAGGACGTGGAAGGAGGGATCAAAATGGGGATTGGAACAATGGTGGTGATTCTGGTGAAAATAAATCTTTTGGTTGGAACAAAGAGGGCAACCAGGGCTGGAGTGGTGGAACTAATGGTGGTGGAGCTAAGACTTGGAGCCAATCCGATGCTGAACAGGGAGGCCAATCCTCCGATTGGAATCAATCTGGTGGCTGTAACAAAGAGGGTAACCTGGGCTGGAGTGGTGGTGGAGCTAAGACTTGGAGCCAATCCAATGCTGAACAGGGAGACCAATCCTCCGGTTGGAATCAATCTGGTGGCTGGAACAAAGAGGGTAACCAGGGCTGGAGTGGTGGTGGAGCTAAGACTTGGAGCCAATCCAATGCTGAACAGGGAGGCCAATCCTCCGGTTGGAATCAATCTGGTGTCTGGAACAAAGAGGGTAACCAGGGCTGGAGTGGTAGAACAAATGTTGGTGGAGCTAAGACTTGGAGCCAACCCAATGCTGATCAGGGAGGCCAATCCTCCGGTTCGAATAAATCTGGTGGCTGGACCAAAGAGGAAAACCAGGGCTGGAATAGTGGAACGAGTGACAGTGGTGCTAAGACATGGGGTCAGTCCAATGCTGATCAGGGAGGCCAGTCATCCAGCTGGAATCAATCTGGTGGGTGGAATAAAGGCTATGGTTCAACTACTGAAGCAATAGGGAATCAAAATAACAATTGGAAGTCATCCAATTACTCTGATGGGAACAAATGGTCTAGCCAGAACCAGTCTACCAGCAATGAAGTCAAAGAAAGTACCAATCAAGGACATGGCTGGGAAAAAAGTTCAACTACTGCTGCTGGAGGATGGGGTAATAACCAAGCATCCGGAGATCACGTTAAACCAAAACCTGCTGATGAAGGCCCATCTTTGGGTTGGAGCAAGTCGAAAGATGGCAGAAGTTCTTGGGGGCAAGGGAGTGGTGGTAGACTGGGAGCATGGTAATTTTTCTTCCCATTGAAGTTATTTAGTGCTGTAGATATTTTGTTTAGTGCTGTTTCTGCTGTGTAGACCGGGAAAGAGGCATGGTTTTGCTTTCAGGCTGGTTATAGGAAAGACATTTACCGTTTAGTGGGAACTGCAACACCTTTATAATGTTTCCTTTTGAAGTTAGTAATGCTACTATCATGTAGTGCTCATTAACTACATTGGGCATAAAAATGAATTGATGTTTGCTCATTAACCACATGAATGTCAAGACTTTGGTTTTCATTCTCTCTCTCTTTTCTTATTGGCCTTAAAGTCCACGTTGTTGTTTATACTTGAAAAATAACATGTTTATTAATGTTTTAGGTAAAGGGTGAGTGTTTCAAGTTGCTCCAATGAATTTATCTCATAGTTTTGACCACCAAAATAAATTTTGTTTTTTAAAATTGGGTTTTTGTCGAGTTTAGGGTGAAAATACTGACTCGATTGGACTTGTGATAATACTATAACTCAACTATATATTTAGAGATAATTATAAGAATACATCTTTCTGTTTTTTCTTCAATTTTCTCTATTTTTACTAAATAAAAATAAGTAAAATATTTTTTATTGTTGGGTTGAGTTCAGGACAGGTGGAACCTTCCTAAACCTGGACCAGATAGAGTGAAGGGTTATACTACTCCAGTCAAAGTCAAACTGATCGAAAATTCAATCTAACCTGACCCGACCATACCTAATTATAGTATTCAAACTATTATAATGTATTTATTTTAGTACCTATGAGTTTTTATTGACCATTTTTTTATTTCTAAAATTGTTACCATAAAGTCATCTTAGACTTTTGCTTCAATTTTAAAGATAGACTTATTTATAAAGAAATGTTTTAATTGATTAATTAAATTATAATTTTACGAAGAAAACATAAATTATATATAATCAGCCTAATAATTGAGTGTTTTGGAATGTAATTTACAGTAAGTATAATTACTGCATAAATATTCCAACTATTGAAGCTTAAAATTATAGATATTAATGCTCGATCTAATTCAATTAACAAAATATCTTATGTAATTAAAATATAAATTAAATATTGAAATATAATATCCCACTAAGAAAAGCATGTATGGATTTAATTATTTGATTCTTTAGTATATAATTTTGAAATAAAATTTATAATTTTTTACATAAAATTATTTATTGTCTCTTTCTCTTATATTTAATGTTGACTGAAACTTCAGACTTTTCATTTATTAGGTTTGAGACTATTCCCTTGAGTAATATTTTTTCAAGGTTTGACCGTGAATTCTCTTAAAGTGCAATATAGTTTTTATTTATTTATTAACGATGTAGTTATTTTTAAAAACATGTAAGCCCCATCTCCCAGATGATTTTGGTTCATAGTAATAAGATTAGTTATTTAATGTATTCACATTATAGAGAATATAATAATGTAAGATTGTAATATTTAACAACGAGAAAATATTATCTTTTAAAGATAAATTTTATTAAATTATCCTTATTTTAAATTTTAATAGTCTTAGTGATTCTTCCTCCTTTGCAAATATGTATAAATAATTGCAATAATTAAAATGCTAATGTTGTGTGTAAAAGTACAAGAAGTTGGAATAGCTCAGTTTGTTAGAGTGTTTGACTATTAACCACAAGGTCTAAATCTGTAAACGAACCGAACGCACACGAACGGAGGTATGTTCATGTTCGTTCATTTAATAAATAAACGAACATAAACGAACACGAACATAAACGAACAAAATTTTTTTTTGTTCATGTTCGTTTATTAAGGAATATAACTTGTTCATGTTTGTTCATTTAATAAATAAACGAACATAAACGAACACGAACATAAATGAACACGAACATAAACGAACATAAACGTTGGAGACCCTACCTTCCATTGTTTTTTCATGAAAAATAGTCGACAATGTAAATCAACCAAATCTACAGTGATAAATAGCGTAAGAGCTGATTAGCAGTGATGAAATGTTTAAATATATCAAATATTTTGATCGATCTTTTAAAGATATTAAATGATTCACACGACTTTAATTTAACGCTATAACATTTATCTTAGTGGTTCATGATTACATATGGACAATCATTTTCCGCTATTACACTCTTTTTCAGAAATTGCATAGAAACCTTTGTTTTATTTTCTGGCAAATTCTATATATTTTTCTCTTTACTGATGCTCATATACTTCCTATTGTTACCTTTATCTTCACATCTATTTCTAGAAATAAGTATGATGTTTTCTTGAGTTTTAGATGTGAAGATACCCACAATAACTTTACATATCAACTATTAAGCCAAATAAAACAGAGAAAAAGATGAAAACAGACCAGTAAAACTTCATATTGTACTATAATATAACTTGTTTTGAAGCTTTCAGCGATCGTCTCCACTCTCCAGTGAACACTAGGGTTTGGGGAAAAAAGGGACTGAATATAGGTGCGAGGTGCCTCACGGGTTAACATATTGGATTTAATCTCCAAATAAAATTGGGTTAATTATGGAGTTGGTTATCAGAATATCAGATTAATTAATATTTTTAAGATACTTACAAATTGGTCACTAAAATTGATTTAAGAAGATTGGGTTAAACATTACCGAACGAACATAAACAAACATTACCGAACGAACATAAACAAACATAACCGAACGTTCATGAACGTAAATAAACGAACGAGACCTATGTTCATGTTCGTTCATTTAATTAAACGAACAAAAAATCTTGTTCATGTTCGTTCATTTAATAAATAAACGCACATAAACGAACTTCCCGCCGCACGGTTCATGAACGGTTCGCTGAACGTTCAGTTCATTTACAGGCCTAACAAGATCGTAGGTTCAATCCTTCCATTTAGCGTTATGAAATTTTGCAACTTCTCATACACTTTAAATTCAATCTGTTAAGCTGTAAATTTAGTTAAATAAAATTATTCGTCATCTAAAAACAAATGGCCTATTAGTAGTGTCATGCTAATAACGTAAAGGTTGTAGCAGGTTCTAAACCTGTATGGGTTAGTTTATAACCTTATTCATAATTTTTTTTCCAAACGGCGTCAATTATATGTTAATGTTTCTCCTGATGAGGGAGGCCAATCCTCCGATTGGAATCAATGTGGTGGCTGGAATAAAAGAGGCAATGGTGGGAGTGAAGATCATCTAATGGGAACAAATTGTCGTGCCTGAACTGGCAGACCATTTGTTTCGCCTGCTGGAGGATGCATCAGGACACCAACTTCAACCAATGAAGGCCCATCTTCGGGTTGGAGCAATTCAAAATCTAGATGATGGCATCAATGGGGTAGGCTGTTATTGGGGTGAAGGGAGGATCAATGGTAGTTTATCCATTCAACTCTTTTACAGCTGTTTTTGCAGTGTATATAGAGCAGGAAAGGCTGTTTCATGCTGCTTATAGGAAAGCCATTTGCCCTTTATTGGCAATAAAAATGTATACATGATTGCTCATTAACTACACGACTATCAAGACTTGTATTATTTTAAGCTTGTTTCTCCTCTTGTGTTCTGTTCTCATTGGCCTTAAGTCGACCTTGTTTATACATGAACAATGACATGTTTATTAATGGTTTGGTTAAGGGTGAGTGTTTTAAGTTATTCTAATGTATGTATCCCGTAGTTGTGTACTAATTTTGACAGCACCAAAATATATTTTGTTTTTCGACACTACAATCATTGAGAGGAGGTTCATTGCATAAGATTGTAACAGTCCAACGTTCCAAGTATTGTTAAAAATTCCCAACCAATCCAAAGTGAATAACATGCTTCTTTTAAAACATGTAGTGCAATCATGCACTTATGCAACTCATGCTAGCTCAAAGACATCAAAGGATAGTTCATCGTAGCTAAAGGAAGCTCAAAGCATAAAGACACTAGCTCGAGAGTAACTGAATGAGAGCTGATGTAACATTCCAAAACAGGGCTAGTGACTAAAATGTGAATTTTGAAAGCTTTGTGTTCAATCTCGAAATAAGTTAAAAGTTTAGGGATTTAATTGGAAAATTTTGATGTTGGATTTAATAGTTAAGTTTGAAAGTAACAAGGGTATTATGGTCTTTTCAAAGAGAAGATTTTTATTCTCTCTTTTAAGGGATATAAAAACGTGGGAAATGAATCCATAGTCTTCTTCTTCAGCCTTCTTCTTCTCCCCGTAAGCTTCAGTTAAAGGTGAGTTTAATTTCAACTGTTTAATTCATGGATTTATAAGTTGGTTTTGATTCTTTGGATAGTAAGAAAGCTTAAGTAAGTCTAAAGATAAGTAAAAACTCAAAGATGGAGATGTTAGGAGAGATTAAGTAAATAGAGTTTTTAAGTGAAATTTTGAATAAGAAGGTTTAAATGAATTTGGAAGTTGAATTTGACTTGTCATATGAAAGAGTAAGAAGTTATAAGTGTTAGAACAAAATTTGGATTACATGAAAAATTTAGTGAGATTCATAGTTTTAAGAATTTGGGAGATATATGAAAGATAATAAGGTGTAGGAATGATAGAAATTGATTAAAGTGAGTATAGTTGAGTTTGGTAGCATAACAAGGGTTTAATACATGAAAATTGGGTGAAGTGTTGATAATTTTCTTGTGAAAACATTCTGTTATGGGCAGGGTGTATCGGTACACTATGAATAGGTACCGATACACTAAGACAAATTTGAAGAACAGCTTCATAGTGTATCGATACATTAAGGAGTGTACCGATACCCGTGAATTTCGAAGCTAATTTGGATACCGATACACCCGTAGTGTACCGATACACTGCTAAAGGGAAAAAAAATGAAGTTTTGGTTCATTAAGTTAGCTCAAGTTTTTAGTATCGAATTATAAGGTTTAGGCTTCTGATAATTGTCTGGAAAATTATATTTATGTAGATACAGAGCCTAAACGAGTTCCAGAACCATTGACAGGTAAGATCAGTCAGGGGGAAAGATAAGAGATCGATATTGACTAGTGAGGCTAGGTGAGTGCATCTTATTTAAATATAGGATTATATGGAAATTTGACTTGCGATAAGTCTATTTCCTTTAAGTCTATTGCATGAAGTCATAAACATAAGTATGTGAATGACATGAAATGTATGTATGCTTGATTATATGAGTTGATATGTTCTGATATGTTCTATGGGATTTATGTGAGTATAAAAGATAAGTCATGTGATAAGATCTATGCGATATATGGAAGTGAAAATATATGACTATGAAGAGTTATAAGAGAACAAATATGAGTTATATGATAATGAAATATAAGACTAT